AGACAAACAACTTCTATACAATGAAAGGAGACTGCGACCACACAAAGGCCACACCATCTTGGTCTATATACCTTCAAGAGAAGACTAGTTGCGTCGCCTCCTTTTTGCAGGCGGCTCAACTCCCTCTCTATCCTTGAGATTATGAATTAAGCACAAGCAATTTTTACTTGACTTCTTGCCGTTATTCATTACATCCAATGAATTTTCAATTCGGTTTATTTCGATTTATTTTACGTTTAACCGCAGACATGCCATAATCAGCAAGACAAGAAGTTTAAGATCATTCAATCTCGTGTCCCGTTTCTGCTCTGTGCTCAGCGAGCTCTGATTTTTGAGCCCACCAGCCTTTGCATGCGCTTTTCTGCTCACAACAATCCACTAGGTTCACAAGAGGTAGAATTGAGGATTTTGGCAGCAAATTTCTGTTAAAAAAAATAATGAATTTTAAGAGTGTGAATGTCTTTGGTCGATACCCTAAAATCAATAGCAAAATATTTTCAGAATATGGAACGCTCGAGTGGAGGAAGTACGATGGCAATCTTATGTATCATAAATACTAGTCGTATAATATACATAAAACGAAAACTGGGCTGAAATAAAAAGTAAATGAATGAGTAATCAGGATATATAGGTAGATATAAATTTTAATACAGATTTTTGAAGGCTGTTTAGTAAAGGAAAGGAAGATTTCAAAACACAAACTGAAGGAAAGACCAGGATCAGAGCAAAATAATAAATCTTTTTATAGAATTATAGAAAACTTTTGTCCTACATAGACCAATTCCTCGATTCTGAAATAAAAGCACGCAATAAACTGCAGACCCTCGTGTAGACAATCAAAGAACATACAGACAGACTGAACGTTTACAAAGCGTGTTTATGTAAATGTCTATCGAACAAATGTAATGATTTAGAGTGGCAAGACTGAATGTCATCATTAAAAAAGGAGCGTGGCGTGGAGCTAATTCATTTGCTATCATCTTGAATCCTAGAGCAAATTGCCACAGTGTTATGCCCACGAAATGGGCCTGGACGACTTGAAGCAACAGCGGCAAACGAGCGGCCCGTGCACCATGCAGAACGGCTGTGAAGCTGCGTATTTCGCAGTCCATTAGTGGAAAGAATCATACCAGGTTGTGGCTCAGGCATCGTTACATGACCTGTGAACTCACGTGCAAGTTGTCCGGACAAACTTGCACGTGGGCCGCCAGTACCACCAGGAAGGCGAGCAAGACCGTGTCGAGCAGTCACCTGGACGTGACGTTGTGGCTCTGGGTCAAAAGCCCGAGTCTCTAGACCGTAATGTTCAGCCAGCTGGTGAATAAATTTTCGCTTCTTTTGATTCATCGGCGCAAAGTTGTGGGAAAGGATTCTGGAGCTAGGGTCGTTTGGAGATGTCTTAGCTAGGACTTGAATCTATATTGCAATCAAGCAACAAAGTAAATAAATACAAAAAATGCAAGCAGATATTGAATTTATATGAATATATGAAAACGAAAAAGCCACCTGAAAGAAATGAAGAGGAACCAGATTCCGAATAATCACTCGATAAACATACCTTTTAATCGAGCAAGATGCTTTCACAACTTGGTCATATTGGTAGGAAGACTTAGAAGAACGTATATAGTCCTAAGTCCATTGTATGCAGGACCATTTACAGTCGGAACGTGGACGTGGTACTTTCAGAGACGTATCGCCGGCATCGTAGTCAGCATCGTCAATGAGTCTGGCCATTCTTAGGACCTTATAACAAGTAAAGCCGATCCTTTGATCAAACATGTGCTAAACAGTTGTGGTATCTCCCCTTCTGCCCTGGCATATTCACATTTCCTATATCATCCTATCACGCATTCACTCTTACACTTTTACCATGCTTATGTCGATGTATTGTGGCGTGCTACTTTGAGTGGCATTCATGAAAATCCTTCACACTCCACGCGGTCGTTCTCAGCCCCTTCACCC